ACATTGTAAATAGATGACAGCTCCTCTCCCTAGTGCTGACATGTCCTGGGCACTTTGCACCTGGGTCTTGGCCAGAATTAAAAAAAAAATTTCTTCTCTCTTTTGCATTCAGTGACTCAGTTCTCCCTCCTTACCAAACTCACTGTGTGCGACCTTTCTAATAGGTTACCTAGGAGTCAATCTCACCTAACCTGTCCTTTCCCCCCTCTTTTTTTTCTTTTTTTTGGCAAGGCAATCAGGGTTAAGTGAGTTGCCCAGAGTCACACAGCTAGTAAGTGTTAAGTGTCTGATGTCACATTTGAATTCAGGTCCTCCTGACTCCAAGGTTAGTGATCTATCCACTGCACTACTTAGCTGTCCCACCCCCCTCATTTTTCCTCACATTTCTATTTTAGGGCTTAAAGATGGAGAAAGTCAGTTAGCCAAGAAACAAGCATTTTTTTAAGTCCTTCTTCTGTACTGAGCACCAAAAATTCACAGAAAAGCAAAAATATGGTCCCTGTCCTCAAGGAGCTTTCACTCTAACAAGTGAACAACATGCAAATAACTAAGCATACAAGATATATACAAGGTATTCAAAAGGGATGTAATCTCAGAGAAAAGGCCCTGACTGGGGTATGGAAGTGGACCAAGAAAGGCATCTTGTAGAAAGTGGGATCTGAACTGAGTCTTCAAAGAAGCCAGGGAAACCAGGAGGCAGAGATGAAGAGCAAGAGATCCATTTTACAGATGGTGAAACTGAAGCTTAAGGAAATAAGCATTTGGAAACAGAATGACCAATAGAAATGATCTTATGAAAATTGCATGTGTGCATTTTAAGGGTATTCAAAGCCCTGAGAAATATTTCTGAGAAGAAACTGTGAGGCCAGAGACAAAAGAAAGGCAAGAATTTTGGAGTTAAATGGAATTAACTTTGGGGTTATAGCTAGATGACAGGCATAGTTAAAGGCTTTGCACTCTCTAGTTTACAGTGATCAGACCTTTCCAAACAAGTGTGTGGGGTAGGAATGACCTGAACTTGGGCTGCTCACAAAGATCTCACCTGGACTGATGAGAAAAAGTCTCAGGGGTAGCTCTCTCAGGGAGGGAGAGCAGACTGAGATCAAGAGTTTGGGGAAGGGTTGTGAAGCTGCTAAAGAATGTTGGACCTGTAGTCAATCAATCAATAACATTTATTAAGCACCTACTATGTGCCAGGCACTGTGCTAAGCACTGGAAATACATAGAGGCAAAAAAACAGTCAAGGAGCTTACAATGTAATGGAGAGACATGTGAACAAATGTACACAAGAGAAATCTTATTAGTCAGTCAAAATACACTTATTAGGTACCTACTATGTGCCAGTTGCTGTGCTAAGCCCTGGGTTCAAATTCCAGTTTTGATCCTAACTGAATGACCAGAACAGAGGCATGGAATAGTGGTTAGTTTGAAGTCAGAAAGACCTGAGTCCAAGTCTTGCTTCTTGATGACTCACAAACCGTGTAAGGGCAAGACTAAACTTTCAGTGTGTCAGGCAGCCAATCTACATTGAGGGACGGAGTCTCCACACCAAGAGTTTCCCCAGACCAGACTCCTCCCCAAAAGTCATGTGACCATGGGCACCAATGAGGTCATTTAACTTCTTGGGAGACTTGATTTATTCATCTGTAGTTCTTACTTCATGGGGCTGCCACGAGGATCAGATGAGATAATATATATAATGGCCTTTGCAAACCTAGAGGTGCTCTATGACTGCCAGATCACATTATTATCCTGGGGTGGAACAAGGTCTCATCTCCTGATAGATGAGATTCTATTATCCTGGCCTGGGGGTAGAATTAAGAGCTAGTATCCTTCAAGTATGAGGAGTCCAGGACTCCCAGGACATGTCAGGGAAATGGATGGATGGATGGATGGATGGATGGATTTATGGATGGATGGATGGACAGACAGATGGATGAGTATATGGATGAATGGACAGATGGATGGATAGGTGGGTGGATGTAGAGATGAGTAGATGGATAGATGGATAGATGGATGGATGGATGGACAGATGGATGGATAAATGAGTACATGGATGGAGATGAATGGATGGATGGATGGATGGATAGATAAGTAGATTGGATGGATGGATGAGTGGATGGCTGGATGGACAGATTAATGGATGAGTAGATGGATAGATGGAAAGATGAGTAGATGGATAGATGGATGGACAGATGGATGGATAAATGAGTAGATGGATGGAGATGAATGGATGGATGGATAGATAAGTAGATTGGATGGATGGATGGATGGATGAGTGGATGGTTGGATGGACAGATGGATGGATGGATAAGTAGATGGATGGATGGATAGATGAGTAGATCGATGGATGGACAGACGGATGGATGGATGAGTAGATGGATGAGTGGATGGATGGATGGATAGATGAGTAGATGGAGATGAATGGATATGTGGATGGATGGACAGATGGATGAGTAGATGGATGGATGGACAGATGGATGAATGGATGAGTAGATGGATGGATGAGTAGGTGGATGGATGGATGGATGGAAGGATGAGTAGATTGGATGGATGGATGGATAGATGAGTAGATGGATGGATGAATAGATAAGTAGATTGGATGGATGGATACATGAGTAGATGGATGGATGGATGGATGGATAGATGAGTAGATGGATGGATGGATAGATGAGTAGATGGATGGATGGATGGATAGATGAGTAGATGGATGGATGAATAGATGAGATTGGATGGATGGATGGATAGATGAGTAGCTGGATGGAGATGAATGGATGTGTTTGGATGGATGCATGGATGGATGGGTGGATGAATGAAGAAACATTTATTAATCACATAACTATGTAACCAGGCATGGAAGCTCTGGGGGATACAAAACCAAGCAACACACTCCCTGCTCTCAAAGAACTTGCATGCTAATACGAGAATAGAGTACGTTATGTTTCGGCTTCAAGCCAGATGATACACCATCTTCAGGGTATGTCTTCTTTAACGTCACCATATTTGCTCCCTATGCTGGCTCATTTGGAGTGCCAACGTCTCTGGTATCAAGAACTTTTTTTTCCCCCAAAGCACGTGCAGAAGCATTTGGCAAGTCACAGCTCCATAAAGGTTCCTCCTCTGGATGAAGGCTTCTTGGAGCCAGGTTGCCAGCAGGAATGGTGGTCTGGGGGACATTGCTATTCACATGGCTCTTTGGCTCAGGGTCCCAGGCTGCCTCCACCAGGGTCTGAGGGGAACAGCATGCTGCCTCCTGTCTCTTCCTCAGAGTGCTCTGCTCCAACTACATTGGCCTTCCCCTCCCATTGGTGGCAGTTGGTCGGGGTGGGGGGGGGGGAATAAAACACATATATTTTGAACAGGGAAGTCACAGGGATAGTGACTGAAGTCATAGGATAGTGATTGGCACATCCTTTCTGAGGCTGGAGGGGTGGAGTTGGAAACAGGAGAGAGGAGGCAACACAAAGATAGGCCAGAAGTGGTATAAAGTGCCTGAGATTGAATGCTCACCCAACCCAGCCCAGGGTCAGAAATCACAAATGATGATTTTGCAAGTTCAGTAGGAAGTCTTTTTTTTTTTTTTTTTTGCTTTTTGGTGAGGCAATTGGGGTTAAGTGACTTGCCTAGGGTCACACAGCTAGTAAGTGTCAAGTGTCTGAGATCAGATTTGAACTCAGGTCCTCCTGACTACAAGACCAGAGCTCTACCCACCGCACCACCTAGCTGACCCAAAGAGCCTTATTATCGTGCACTGTAATTGGAGGTAGAAGACCCGAGTTCAATTCCTTAATTACCACCTATTATCATTCCATAATTTGAGCGTTATATGAAGCAAACAGAATTCTAGTTTTCGGTTTCAGAAGTTTGAAACCTTCCTTGTAACATATCCTAGCTATGTGACCCAGAGCAAATCATTTAACCTCTGTTTAAGCTGTTTATCTTATGTAAAATGGAAGGAGGGACGGTAGGACGGGCTCTAATCAAAGTCTTTTTCCAATTCTATATCTATGAACCACTAAAACGGTCAGGAATCCTGGGTCCAAATCTCCCCTCTGACACTTAATCAGCTGTGTGACCTTGGGAAAGTCCCTTAACCAGGCATATTTCCACATCTGTAAGAGGAATGGGGCAGCTAGGTGGTACAGTGGATAGAGCACCAGGCCTGGAGTCAGGAAGACTTGAGTTCAAATCCAGCCTCAGACATTAGCTGTGTGACCCTGGGCAAATCACTTAACCCTGTTTGCCTCAGTGTCTTCATCTGTAAAATGAGTTGAAGAAAGAAACGGGAAACCACTCCAATATCTTGGCCAAGAAAACTTCAAATGGGGTCACAATGAGTTGGACACAACTGAACAACAAAAGAGGAATAACCTTTACATTGCCTAACTCACAAGTGTGTTGTGTGAGGGAGGCCCACTGCAAACTTTGAAGTGTCATAGGATTGTCAGCTAACATTATGACATCTCTCCTGAGGCCCTAGACCACCTAGCTTCCAAACTGGAACCTAAATCCACAGAAGAGCATTCTGTTCCCAGTGGGAGAAAACTCACCTGAGGAACACGGTGAAGGGGAATGGGGATAGAGAACTGAGACCTCGTCTCTAAAATAAAAGATTGGACCAGCTGGTCAAAAGGTGTCTTCCAGCTCGAACATCCCATGATCTTGTCGATTCTCCCAACAGTATTAGCTCCCTTGGAAGGGATGGCACTGAAGGGAAACCCTCAGGTTGTTTTTCCAAATAAGTATACTATCCCAAGGCCTTAGAAGGATGAAGTTTTTCTGTGACAACCCCCAAAAAAAAGGAAACAATTATCAGTTGTGGTGGTTAAAGACATATGTTCACACACAGTCTTCTTTCTTTCTTTCTTTCTTTTTTTTAATTTTTATTGAAAACAGCAACCAGGTTCTAGCCAGCTCCCTCTCAGGGAGCAGAAAGGCAGGGAACAAGGCAGTGGGATGACTCTACCTTTATAATGGGACATGTATTTTCCAAATTCTGCTTTTTTTTTTTAACTTTTTTCCCCCTCAATTTTTTTCTTTAAAAAAATGGTTTTTTTTTTTTTAATAATCCATGAAACAAATCATCCACAGTGGGAGAACACATGCCTTGGAAGTCAAAGGCACCTCTCCCACCAGCATCAACAGGGCAGAAGCTGTGTGTTAATGGGTAGGAACTCACCTGCCACTCACTCCAGCCCCAACCTCCTCTTTGAACAGAGGCCTTGGGAGCTCAGTGATGTCCCCATCTACCCCCATCATTACCAACAGCCAGCCAGACACTGCAATAGGGCAAAGCCTTATAAGTGGGTGTGCTACACTCCCTGGTGAGGAGTGGAAAGCATCTAATACATGCAAGAAAAAATAGCCAAACCCTCAAAGCAAGAGAAAAACAAAACTCAAGATAAATTAAAAAAAAAAATTAAAACTCAAAACAACCAGGCAAGTTAATAAAGTTTACGGCCAGACTTCACTCCCTAGTGTAGGCAGCTATTAGCAGTATACCCACACATATTTCAAAGAGTTAGGATGGTTTGCACATTTACTCTTTCTTCTTGGGGGAAAAGGGGAAGGAGGGAAGAATATGGAGACCAAAAAAAAAAAAAGAGCCTCTGTTCCATTCCCAGGACCACTGGAAACATTCAAACTTGACTGCCCAGCTCAGATGGTGAAGTTCCCACAGCTGCAACGACTGAACATTTTTTCCAATGAGTCATTTAAAAACCCTCTGGATTATACAATCCTTAGAGACAAGGTGACCCCCATCCTTGAACAGAGGGCAAAGGGCTTCAGTTTAAATGGGGAAGGGGGGAGAGGAAAGGGAAGGAGAGGCTTGTGGCAAGACTTGTTGGAATTGAGCCAATTTGTTGGGAAGCAGGTCTAAAGAGTGACAGACCCAAAGAATCTAGGATGTCCCACCCCCACCCTGAGGTACCCATCCAAATCTTTTCAACTAACACATACATCAGCTTCTTGACCAAGTGTTCAAGCCAACTTTACAGCATCCCTATTATACCTCTCCCCATCTCCACCCCAGCAGCTTCAAAGACAGCTAGACATTTCCTCAAAGAAAATCACTGGTCCTAAAGTTTATTTCCACCCCCCACGCCCCCTGAAAATCGTAGGCAACCTGCAACAATTCTGGCTGGACAGACAGTCCCCTGGAGCAGACACCTCCTCCTGCTCTTTCTTACCCCCAAGGGAAGTTCTCAGCAGGGAAATGAGGAAAGGTTTCAGGTAGAAGGCTGTCCTTGAACTAACCCTTGAAGGAAACTAGGGTTTCTAAGAGATTGAAGGAAGGAGAGAAAGAGTTTCCCAGGCAGGAGGGCCCAGGAAAGGGGATGGGTCCAACCCTCTGATATTCACAGTAATCAGGCATGACCCCAGAGCCCATCCTCCCAGGAGGGAGGACTATATCTGTCATCAGATGAAAACAAGGAAACAGTTTTAAAAGTTCATTATATATAGATATAAAAAATATAATACAACCTATGTTCTACCTACCCTATACAATTTACTGTTTACATAGGCTCATAACACTCTTGGATTGTCAGAAGGACAAAAAAAAAAAAAGGACCTGATCTGATCCCCAAGGCTGGTAAGGAAGAGATGGTTTGGGAGTGGATCCTGGAGCAGCTGAACAAGTCACTAAGCCACGAGGGAGAACTTGCAGGGTCTTTGAAAAAGACAACGAAGGGAGCACTAGAGTCTGGCACCTTGTGTATGAGGGGGGCAGGATCAAATCCTCACCTCCCACACCCATTACCCCTTGTGAAATATCCATACCCTCAGGACCTAGGTGTGTTGTGTTGGCAACACTAAGAGGGAAAGGGACAATGGCATCCACCAGCCATCAAGGATGACACACCATTGATCAGGGGCCCTCTCTCTCCCACGGTATTAAGCTTCACATCACTAGCTAGGACAGATTTCTTCCCATAGCCTTACTACAGACATCAAAAGCCACTCAGACAATGCCATCCCATTCACCACCCATCCCCAATAACTCAAAGCCCTCCCTCCAAGGGTAGGAACATCAGGGTCTAAAGAAAGTGGATTTAGGGAAGGGAAAAATAGAGGGCACGGGTACAGAGATAGAAGCTGCTACACCCTATGGGTTAGAGTTATCAGGAGGCTGAGAGAAAGAAACAGATCTGGGGGAAGTACTGAATAAATGAACCAAAAAAGTACAGAGCTGGTAGTCCCAGAAACTCACTCTACTCAAAGCATTGGGCAGCTCTGCTTACTAGGTCAGTTTTCTTGGCACTTGGGACAAATGGCACATTGCAAGAACTAAAGGATCTACCCTCCCTCCTTCAGAACCACCCTCAATCCCAACATCTTAACTCCTCTGGCCTCAGTTCCGGGCTAAACAAAGGACTGGTTTCTCAGATGCCAGGAGTCACGGTGATGAGAGTCTCGCCAGTGGAGAAAGTCCACATGCCCAATGCCACGTGGGCTTCTGTGGGAGCAGTGACCAAACACGACATGTCCTTGGCCTTGGATTTCCATGGTGCTGGCTAGGTAGCTCTTTTAGCTCAAAGATACACAGGATGACACAAGAATACACTAACGCCGTGCTCCAGGTTGGAGGTGGACTGGACTGGGGACTAAGTGATCTGTGCAAACCACCGAGAACGCCATTCCTCATTTCTGTTTTCCAGGGAGAGGGGAAGAGGGTGCTCCATAGGGCAGTAATGTCCTTTCCTTATGAGTCCTCACCCAGGATCTCCTTCACAAAGGCAGCGATGTCTGTCTCTTTGGTTTTGTGCAAAGTAAAGAAAGGATGCTCCTGTCAGAGAGGAAAGAGAAGCCAGGCTGGGTCATTTCATCACAAACAGCATAGGATGAGGTGCTGGTGATATTCTCTCCGTCTGCACAACATCCTCCTCGCTCCAAATCCTGCCATCCTTCATGAAGCTTCCTCAGTGGCTCCCACCAATGATGGCTCCCCTTCCTGATCACTCACTGTACTTACTTTCTATAACATATGTTCTAACAAGGACATCACTCTACTGAGAAACAGTACAGAGAAAAGAACTGTCTTGGAATCGGGAAGACCTGGGTTCAATGCCCACTTCTGACACATACTGACTATGAGACCCTAGACGAGTTTCTTCATCTTTCAGGGCTCCAGGCAACTTCTCAAAACCATAAGTTTCAGAGAAGGTACTAATTGGGAGAGGGAGATTTCTCCTCCCTACATCAATGAAAGTACAGATCTAGTCCCTATTCTTATGTTGTGTGTGTATTATTCTAGAAGAGCACTTATATGAAGACAAAATCCCTGGGTTCAAGAGCACACTGGGAAAGACCTCATCAGCAAAATGTGGTTAATGAATAATACACTTGCTTCACCTGAGTTGTTGTCAGAATCCCCATACACAGCATTCCATCTCCTACCTACCTCTGGCCTTGGCACAGGCTGGACCTCCACGTCTGGAAGACTCCCTCCTTCCTTACCTCTACCTCTTAGCTTCCATCAAGGCTGAGTCTGGTAGCACTTCTTACAAGAGACCTTTCCTGATCTCTGCTCCCACCCAAATTACTCTGTGTGTGTGTGTGTGTAAAAGTACTGATTATTTGACTAGAATGTAAGATCCAGGAGGGTAGGCATGTTTTTCTTTCTATCTCCCAACAGTAGGCGGGATACTCCAGAGTCGATGCTGATTAAATTAAATAGACCAAGTCCCTTTTCTGTTCCCACCCCCTCACACTCTGCAAAGCCATCAGAGCAGGAATTGCCCCCTGACAGATGTCTGGATAGCTGCTACTCTTCCCCTTCCTCTGATTGCAATTATTCATATCCATCAGTCTGTCCAGCATAAGGGATCTCCCAGGCCGTGGAGAAGCCCACAAGCCCGAGCTGAAGCAGCAGCTGCTTCCAGTTCCAAAAGCCCCAGGTAGACCACGTTCTTTCCCAAGGCTGCCTCTCCAGAAGACTGAGACTTATTTGGCCTCAGAAAACAAAGACTGGCTGATGGCAGTTCCCATTTCCTAAGTGCTTTCCTCACATAAAGAAAGGTAGCTTGAGTACGATTCTTCCAGCTTTACAATAAAGGAAACTGAGGCTCAGAGATGTCATATGGCTTGCCCAGAGGCCATACACTTAGTTATACAGTGGAGCTAAGTAAGACCTGAACTCAAGTTCTGCCTCTAACAGCATTCTTTCCCATCCCGTGGGAGGATAACCTAGTGCTTAGGCTGATCCTCTTAAGGTTTCTAAGATCCTTAGAAGGATCTTAGATCCTTCTAAGATGCCTTAGAAGGGCATTCTAAGTAATGCCCTTAGACTTGGCCAGAATTTCATCCCCTTGGGTTAAGCAAAACTTAAATGGGGCAAGCCTGCCTCAGAAGGCAAGAGTCAATTCCCTAAGCGAGTTCTTCTTGCTGTGGAACCATCAATTCAAGGTCCCACAACCCACAAACTAAGCTTTAACAGTAGGAAAAAAGCAGAGATCCACCATTTTCCAAGCTGCATCCACCTTAGAATATGGCTCCAGCTGGCATCATTCTAGCTGTGCTACCACTGACCACAAGAACATCAGCCCAAAAGGCAGCCCATCTCTGGTGCTCAGCTGTACCAAAAGGAGACCATGTGAGAGAGCTTTTTTTATCCTGTGCGCAAAGCCAGAATACAGCCCTGGTGCTGGCTCATGCCAAGAGGAAACCTGGTGGCCAACCAACTCTTGAGGTCCAGGCAGTGGCATATGCATTTTCCCCTAAGGCTTATGTAAGTTCCACATGGACTTGAGGAAAGTCACTGAGTCACCAAGCATGCCTCCTCTTGTCCCAGGCCACCTCCCCCAAAGCTAATTAAAGCTTTGGGCTTTCCAGCCCAGTACCTGCTGACTTGCCACTGCTGGGTAAGTCAACAGCCAAATTTTCCCCAAGGCAGTTCAGAGGTACACCTCAGAAAGAGGTGTGCCCCTGATACCTACTGCTAAGGACAGACTGCTTAGCTAAACTTTATCAAAATAAACCCACCTCTTAGAATGGGGAAGGGGGAGGGATATACTTGGAAATGAAGGTGAAAGAAAAACAAAGAACACTGATAAAAAAATGTTAAAGGAAAATAAAAGAAACCTGCTACCACACCCCCACCCCAGGCTAAACAGTTCATTTAAATACATTCTGAGTTGGCTGGCATTCCAGAATCTCCCCATCTGGGTCTTGACCTCTCTCCCAGGGCAGTCACTGCCTCTGACATCCAGGCTGATGCCATCTGCTGTGTTCTTTACACTTCCAAAGTATTGCTTTTGCATCGGGAAGTGGATTCCTGAGTACTCACCATTAGCTGCAGGTAGCTCATTCGCTCTGCAGGATTCTTCCTCAAGCTAAAAGAAAAAGCAAGACAGACATGAACCCTCTGAGCAGGGGGTGGAGAGCAGTAGATCACACACTCCTTCCCTAGCCCTTCACTGACCTGCCCCAACTACCCCGGGAGTCCAGAGTGATTTTGCCTGCCAGAGCAGGCAAAGAGGAAGGTAGCTTGCTAGAGCAGATGCTGGAGCATCCAGGCTGGGACCATTAGCAGGGACCAGCCCTGACTCCAGAGGGAAGCTTAGGCTTCACCAAACCAGATATTCCCCATGGGATATCCCCTGTAGAGGACGTATATCCAGATAATCAACAAGGTTGACCTCACTATTCACTGGCTAACATTTGACAACATTGAGTCTTCCCCAAATCTAGCCTAAAACTGGGCTTCCACACAACTTCCCCACCATCATCTCACACACCATGCGTTACCCCCCCCAACACTCCACTTTCCAGATTCCTTTTATGTCGTCTTAGAACGTAAGTTACTTGAGGGCAGAGACTATCTTGCTTGTTGTATTTGTATCCCTATCACTTAGCCCAGTGCCTGGCATATAGGAATGCCATTTCACTAAATGTTCCATTTGTGTATTTGACTGAGTCCAAGTTTTACAGAACAAAACCTTTTATTAAGGGGATTTGTTCTGTGATGTCTGGATTCAGTCAAAAGGCCGTACTTGAGGACCTAGAGGGCCACGTGTGGCCTCGATGCGCAGGTTCCCTATCCCTGGCTTAAGCACAGGCTGGCCAATCATCTATTCCTATACTGAGCCAGAGGCTGGACCAGGTAGGTGACCGCTAAGTGCCTTTCCAAGGGCTGTCTCTGAGCCATCAATGAAAGTAATTTGAAAGGAGGCTCTTTGCCCACTCTCACCTCCAAGACCACCACCACCACCCTAAGACAAGTGTGTGGCCTAGATAAAGGATGGTCCCCTCTAGCCTTGCTGGAAGAGCATTGGACACACGGCTAAAAGGCTCTGGAAATCTAGCCAGCCCCACGGGGAAAGGGGAAAAACCTCTCCTTCTCCAAGACAGTGATTTTACCTAAAACCTCAGCTCATAAAAAGCCATTCCCATCACCACTACCACCACCACCACCAAGGCAACCATGAGAAAAGACTCACCATTGAGCTGTGAAGTCCACAAACTCAGCAGAGAATCGGTCAGCAGGGAGCTGGGGAGATGGCTCTTCCACCACCTGTTTCAGCTGCTGGAATGGGGTCCCCCAGGACTCATATGGAAACCGGAGGATGGCCATCTCAATCTGTAGCCCAGGAAATAAGGCCTTTGATTAATCACTTCCCCTCACTCTTCCACAATCCTACACAGGCCACACCTCACCCAGTCCTGATCCCACAAGAAGGGACAAAGTCAAAATATCAGTATCATTCTATTGGGCAATCAGAGAAAAGCTTAGGCCCCCAAGACCACAACCGTTGAAGCGGAGGAGAAGGTCAGGTCTCCCATTTCTCTCTTGACTTCATTCAGTCTAATGAGCCGGGCTCTCCTGCTGGGACTTATAGCTAAGCTGATAAACATTCTTTCTAGAGTATGGGGGTAACTCTCTCATCCCAAGAAGGGAGAGTCACCAGAAATGGATTTTCACACACACACATACCACTCAGACAGGTCCCTGGCCACAGCAGTACCTCCTCCTTGTGCCCGAAAGCTATGGGATAGATTCCTACATGGTCATGAGGGTCTAAAGACAATACACTCAACTTGAGATGGAAATCAGAGAGCAGAAACAGACTCAGATGGGGATCTATTACTTGGTCATTAAGCCAGTGAGGTCCAGCAAGGAGCATCCAGTCAAGGCAGATTTTGCCTAGGAACTGGGGTTTTCAAGCTGCTCAGTTCTCTTTTACCAGGTCCAGTACTCCACCAGGTTGGACAGATAGAGGGAGCAGGTCATTTAATCTATTCTTTTAAAATCCTCACCAAAAAAAAAAAAAAAGTGGGGGAGGAGAGAAAGTAGAGGGAGCTTTTGACTTCAGCAATAAATAGGCATTAGGGGAGTTTTTCCAGTCCTGATATAATCCTGTGATCTATAATCACACGGTCCAAAAAATATCCCAATCCTACTCATACTCACTACATCCCATACAGAGACACATGAAATAGAGATTATTTTCAAACAGCCTCTTGATTTTTTTTTTTTTTTTGGCTAGGCAATGGGGGTAAGTGACTTGCCCAGGGTCACACAGCTAGTAAGTGTTATGTGTCTGAGGCTGGATTTGAACTCAGGTCCTCCTGAATCCAGGACTGGTGCTCTATCCACTGCACCACCTAGCTGCCCCCTCACTTATTTTTTAAACTTAAGAAGCAACAGCATCTTCATTAAGTCAAGGTCATCTGTGTGAAAGGGCAACTGTACATTAGCTTAAGCCTTTGACTTCAACCACCGTTAACACAAAAATATCAAATTGTCCTTCAACTATGCTAGAAGATATAGGGGTATGCAAGTCAGAGAATTTTTAAAATTAACTGCAGCTGTTCCTGAAAGGCACAAGTGAATGAATCAATGGGCTCAAGAGACTGTAGTTCAAACAAATGATTAGAACTGGAAATAGAAGGGTAAACATGCTCTTAATTAGTAAATTTGCTGATTCCTCACTAACATCAGCCCAAACTCCATGTTTAAACAAGACACATAACATTTATGCATATCTAGAATCATATGAGTACACACATCATTATATGTATATGTAACTGTATTGCTGTAATGTGTATGTACATGTGTATTGTGCATGTGTGTATTGTGTATACGTGTGTATAATTACTTATTGTGCTTATAATTACATTATGTGCATATTGTATTGTGATGTGTATACATGCATATAACATATTACCCATATAATGTATATACCCATATATACATATATATACATACATACATACACACACACATATGTGCATACATCTCTTTCAGACAATACAACCTAATTAATTCAGATGCACCATTCTGGAAACGGAGGTCATTCCACATACTAAGGTGAAGTTAGCCTCTGCAGAGGCTGAAAGGTTTGCTCAGAAATCAATAGCATAAACAAGCAAAATGTCTAAACCATTCAAAAGCACGTAGTGGGTACTCAATAAACACTTGCTGATTGATCAATGATGGCTGATTGAGCAATTCTTCCATCAGAAGAACAAGGGGGTTGGACTATCTCTAAGGCCCCCTTCTAATACTCAATCCTAGACTTATTTCAAGGAAGGAGACTCGGCAGTTTCCCTCTTCAGACCACTGGTTATGGTCTCTCACCTCTCTCCCTCACTCAAGCAGGAGGTCACGGGCACCCAGTAGGAGGGAAAGGGAGCCAGACTAGGACATACGTGGTACTCAGCCTAGCACACGCATTTGAGAAAACCTAAAAATAGCCTCAGAAGCAGCCACAGGAGGGCAGCCTTAAGTAGTGGCTTTCCTTGTTCCACAATAGGAACCAGCTGGGGTTCTTACAAGGCAATCTGGTTGGCCTGGTTCTTCAGGGACCAATGTTAAGGTATTTCCTGTACTGGGGTGGGCAGAGTGAAAGGTGCCCATGAGCTCACTGTTTTGGACTGAAAGCAGAGTCATGAGGGTGGAGAAATTCTGGAGAACTCAGCCAGAAGGCATGAAAACTTTGGAAGAGATGGTGATCCCAGCAAACAATGCCAGGGAAGGGTCTGGGGGAAATCCACTGGACAAATGAAATCTCTTCCTGAAAGGCCCTTGGGAGAAGTACAAATTCATTCCCTCTTTCTTAGCCCCACAAAGTAGGGGAAAGGGGAAGTGAGTCAATATCAAAGGTCTGAGAATCTCCCTAAATGCCATATTAATTAATGCATGCCCAGAATTTCCCTTGAACAACAGTGCACCACCTAAATTCTATTTTTAAACATGGAGAAACGCCCAAGTTATCCTAAGCTGGCAAAAAGTCCTCCCCAAAAACACTGGTATGAGAAAATTCAGGGGACCAGAAACCAGAGCCATCCCTAGAGTTCAAAATTAGGGTGATCCCCCACCAGGCATCTGCCATAAAAGTAAGGAGCAGGTGGAAAGCTGGGATTTAGATTTCAAAGGGACCTCAGAGATCATGTAATCCAACCCTCTCATTTTACAAGGAAACAGCCAAAAGTAGTGATTTGCCCAAGGTCACAGAGGGCAACAAGTTGCCAAGTCAACATTTAAATACATGTCCTCTCATTGCAAACCCAATTACATTCATTTCTACTCCATAGTCCTATGCTGATGGCACAGGACAATGACTCAGAAGGAGTGGGGGATGAGGGGAAGAAACAGTTCCACCAACTGATACTAAAAAAAGGTCTGAGGCCCATACACACAATCACTCCATAAAACCTTCCACCAAAAGAAAAATACCCTCACTTAGCTAGAGCACAGGCACCCACCCTACTGAGCACAAACGCCTATTGCCTCGCTGTGATTTCATTTAAGGCTAATCTCAGTGTTCTTTTAACCTGATCTCACCTGGATAAAATTACGGGCTCACAGATTTAGAGCTTAAAGGGACCTCAGAAGTCATCTAGTTAACCCTCCCACCCTCATTTCAAAGATGAGGATGACTGAGGCCCTGAGAAACTAAAGTGACTTGATCAATTTCACACAAAAGTCAGGCTTCAAACCCAAGTCCTCTGACTACAAATTCAGTGCTCCTACTGTGCCAGGCTGCCTCCTCTTCCCTTTCCCTGGCTCCCAGGTATATCTGACACCATCCTCAGCCCCATTCCCCCACCTCCCTGCCCCCAGGGTACCTGACACACCCAATAACTTCTGATTTCCCCATGTGCACAATGGAGTTGTTCGTTTTTTTAATTTGACTTCTGAAGGGATGATGGAGACTGGGGGACTCTGAAAGCTCTTCTCCTCCCCATCCCTTCTCAACCCCAGGTGACCCACAGAAGGCAGCTTCGGGCCAGGGGCATCTTAGGGCCTTTACCATAGTGATTCCCAGACTCCAGACGTCTGACTTGACATTGTAACCTTTTTGGTTCAACTCCGGGTTGATTCTCTCCGGCTATAAGAGTGAGGGGTGAGAAATTAAGGCAGTTAGTTGTTTTTGAGACACCCAAGGAGGATTCATGCCCCAGAGTCTGTCCAAAGACAACAGCCCCACAGAAAACACCCAGCAGGCTAGTGACCAAAGCTTGATGCAGACCAGACTGGCCTCTCCGGAGAGCTATGGGGCACTAGAGGGTGGAGAGAAGAAGAGGGAAAGCTGGGGGCCAAAGCTGAACGGTGCTTCAGTGACAACACCTGGCATATGTACAGCTCTTTACAGTTTGCAAAGCACTTTACCTGGAACACCTCATTTGATCCTCAAATTGACCCTGGGAGGGAGGTGTTAGTATTATCCCCATTTTACAGAGGCTTCAAAAAGGTTCATTCCACTTACTCAAAGAATCAAACCTGAGACCTGACAGGAACCTCAGAGAGATTATGACATCGGATGCCCTTGTTTTACAGAGAAAACTTTGACCCAAAGGGAGGAAAAAGCTTGTTCAATGTAGTAGTGTGTAGAAGAAAAGGGACCAGAACCCGGTTCCCCCACATTGTGTGGCCTACTTCCCTTTCCATCATACCACAATGCCTTCCCTTAATCTCCTCCCTTTTCCCCCCACTACGGCCGAAGGTTTCCATAGCTTATCATGAACAGCTGTCCTAGTGAGTAGTGTTTATTTTTTAAAAAATAAATAAATAAAAGGACTTCGTTTATACCCAGGAGATAGTAGGAAAAGTGTCACCATTTGGTGTCAATAAAAATGTCACTCTCACAGTGAAGAATCATGCAGTCTGTACTGTATGTATTTACAACTTTAATTTAGTTATGCCAATGAAGGGAATCAGAGGCATGGATGACACCAGAGTGTAGATGATCCAAAAATCTTTCCTACTTATTTTTTGTGATAAAAATTTTCCTTGCACTCCCCCCCAAATCTCATTCCTAATTACGTTTTAGTTTGCAGCATGCAGTCCCTGAGAAGACACAAGCTTTGGAGGGGTGAGTGAAGCTAGAAGCCCACTTGGTGGAAGGAGGAAGCTGATCTAGGGTTAAAAATTAGCTGTGGGCAATCCTTCCAGCAAATAACCTACACACAGCAATTCCCAATTTAGCATCTCATCTTCAGGGCTTTTTCAGAAGCTTTCTCTCCAAGGCAGTCACACAGTTTAGCTCAAGGCCCCAAGACCCAAGAGTGTCACAATTAGAGTGAAAAAATAAGAAAAAGAAAACTCACAACCCACAGGATGAGGGTTGGTTACTGGTTCAGTAACTTTCACTATCTCCATTTAATAGATATGAAAATTATTTATAAGCTCAAAGCATTATATCTGGTCCCAGTTGCCCAAAGTTACTGTTTTTATCAGCAGAAGCTTCTCCTGGGAAGCCACTACCCTGTTCTGAGAGAGGACAGGTGAGTAAACTAGGCCCTCCCTCTCATCTACACCATGCCCCCACTTACCGCCATATAGGGTTTGCAACCGGCATCCATAGTCTTGGCCACTGAGTCCACCAAGTAGCCACTGATCCCAAAGTCACACATTTTTACGTGGCCTTCCTTGTTGATAAGAACATTGGATGGTTTGACATCTAACAGGAGCCAGGAAGGGAAATAGAAAAAGGGTTAAAAATGTTAAAAGGCAAAAAAAAAAAAAATAGCACAAGGTAAAGGAACAAGGGTAGGAAATAAGGCCAGAGAAAAACTTCAGGACTTTATATGGCCTCAAAAAGAAAGGGCTAGGGAAAGAAAAAGACTTTCCAGATTATTATTTGCCCTAGATCACAGAGTTAGTAACAGAGTGTCTGTCTCCAGATTTCCTGCCTCCCAGATAGATTGCTGCTATGACACACAGCTAGGCCACACTTCATTTCAAGTTTGGGCGCCACATTTTAAAAGGGACCTTGACAAACCTGAGTGCATGCAGAGGAAGTGTTCAGAATCACATCCTACAAAAGATATTAATGGAAATGAAGCTGTTTACCCAGGAGAAGATAACATTTAGTAAATAATGTGAATGGGGCAGCTAGGTGGTACGGCAGATAAAGTGCCAGTCTGTATACTGTGAGAGACAGAGTGACGCTGAACTTGGAGTCAGGAAGACCTGGATTCACATCCTGCCTCAGACACTTACTGGTTATGTGACCCTGGGCAAATCACTTCACACTTCTTGGTGCCTCAGTTTCCTCAACTGTAAAATGTAGGTTTAGTATTTGATGGCCTTTCAGCTCCAACCCTATTATCCTAGGATTGTAGAATGCTTTAGGTACATTATCTAAGTTAATCCTCAAAACAGCCCAATGAGGTAAGTAGGTACTAAAGGTTTTTTGATTTGGGATTTGGTTTTGTTTTTTTTTTTTATTTTTTTTTTTATTTTTAGGCAATTGGGGTTAAGTGACTTGCCCAGGGTCACACAGCTAGTAAGTGTTAAGTGTTTGGTCTGAGGCCGGATTTGAACTCAGGTCCTCCTGACTTCAGGGCCAATGCTCTATCTACTGCGCCACCTAGCTGCCCCCGGTTTTTTGTTTGTTTTTTTTAATCGAACCAGTCATTTCACTGGTATCAGGAACTCTTGATAATAACACTACCAATTCAGCTAAACTTGTTTAGATGATTTCCGCAGCTCCCTCTCTTCTAGCTCCAGCAGTCTCATGATGCCACTTCTGAATCATAGTCTCAAATCCACCCTATCACCACAGGCCACACCTCCTTTTAGAATTCAATGAACAAGCATTTCATCAGCACTTACTATGTGCCTGGCATTGGGTCAGACAGTCAATCAACAGTCAGTAAGCATTTATGAAGCACCTACTAGGTGCCAGGCACTGTGCTAAGTGCTGGGGATTCAATGAAAGACAAAACAGTCCCTGCCCTCAAGGAGCTTACATTCTAATAGGGATAACGAGGTACATACAAGATAGACAGAGAGCATATACTAGGGAATCTCTAGAGGCTGGAGGGATTGGGAAAGGGATCCTAGACAAGGTGAGATTTGAACTGAGGGAAAATAAGACAGAGGTGAAGAGGGAGAGAGCATTGTAGGCATGGAGGACAGTCTGCAAAAAAAGGACCACGGAGGGTAATATGCAAAGAACAGCAAGCAGCTCGGTGCAGCTGCAGTAGGAAGTACAAGGAGGAGAGAAAAGTATAAAATAAGACTGGAAAGGTAAGAAGAGGTCAGGTGGGAAAGAGGACTTTAATTTTGATCCCAAAGGTAACAGGGGGCCATTGAAGTTACTGGATGGGAGGGGAGGGAAGGAAGGAAGGAGAGAAAGGGAAGGTACCCTATTACAAGGAGGTCAGCCCTGAAATCACATCAATGTCCTTCTGATCTTATCAGAGCAGCTCATGGCCTCTTCACCGCCTGCTAAGAGAGGTCCAGGGACTCTTCTCAATACGTATTTTGTAAAAGTGACTTAGAAGGAAGAAAGGTCAATGAACCTAGAGTGACTATGGGCAGTCATGCTATTCAACACTGGATGCAAAAAGAGGAGTGTTAAAGCTTATACCTTTAACATCAAAAGTGATATTTATATAACTTTAAGGTTTGGGGAGCAATTACGTTTTAATTTGGTTGGGCCACACTGTGTGGGACTCAAAGGTCTCTCAGGGAGCGTTTTGGTACCTCTACATTAGATCAGGCTGCCTCGTTTCACAGAAAGGAGACTGAGGAGGCCTGAGGAAGGGAAATGGCCTGTTGGACATGCATTGGCTGGTTAAGCAGCAGGGCCAGTATTTAAATTCAGGTTCTCTGACTTAAAATTCAATCCTTTTTCCACTTCATTTAATCCAATCCCTGCATCTTAGAGGGGAAGAAACTCAAGTCATCAAAAGAGATGAAGTCACTTACTCAAGGTCACAGAGCCAGTGGCAGACTAGACCAGGCCATCCTGACTCCCAACTCCTTTTCCATCATCCATAGTAGAATGAAGGTTATGTCAGATAGGGGACACAACTCTCTTGAAAGATATCCTCAGTGCCTGGTGCATAGTAAATTCTTTAAAATGCTGATTTCGTTGAATAGGTGCCATTCATTTTTCTAAATTTGCTTCTTTTTTAATATTTATTTTTTGCATTCTTTTTTTAAATTTTGAGTTCCAAATTCTCTCCTGCACTCCCACCCCTCCCCCATTCACTGAAAAGGCAAGCAATATGATGTTAATTATACACGTGAAATTGTGCAAGATATATTTCCATATTAGTCATATCACACACACACACACACACAAAAAGTAAAACAAAAAGTGAGAAAATTATACTTCAATTTGCACTCAGAGTTCATCAGGTCTTTCTCTGGAGGTGGATAGCATTTTTCATCATGAGTTCTTTGGAACTGTCTTAGATCACTGTATTAATCAGTGTAGCCAAGTCTTTCACAGTTGATCATGATTACAACATTGCTGTTACATAATACCAATATGTAACAACGTGTACAATGATCTGGTTCTGCTCACTTCACTTTGTACCACTTCATGTAGGTCTTCCCACATCTTTCTGAAACCATCCCCCTCATCACTTCTTATAGCACATAGTATTCCATCACAATCATATGCCACAACTTGTTCGGCTGGAAATGGCTAACTGACGGACATCCCCTCAATTTCCACTTCTTTGCCACCACAAAAAGAGTTGCTATAAATATTTTTGTACATATAGATTCTTTTCCTTTTTCTTCAACCTCTTTGGGATACAGACCTTGTAGTGGCATCAAAGGGTATGCAGTTTTATAATTCTTTGGGCAGAGTTCCAAATTGTTCTCCAGAATGGTTGTATCAGTTCACAACTCCACCAACAGTTCATTAGTGTACCTATTTTCCTTTATCCCTTCCAGCATTTGTCATTTCTGATAGGTATGAGGTGGTACCTCAGAGTTCTTTTAATTTGCATTTCTCTAATCAATAGTGATTTAGAGCACTTTTCATAACTACAGATAGTTCTGATTTCTTCTTCTAAAAACTGTCTGTTCATGTCCCTTGACAATTTATCAATTAGGGAAGGGCTAGGGGCAGCTAGGTGGCACAATGGATAGAGCACTGGCCCTGGAGTCAGGAGGACCTGAATTTAAATCTGGCCTCAGACACATAACAGTCACTAGCTGTGTGACTTGGCAAGTCACTTAACCCCAATTGCCTTGACAAAAAAAAAAAAAATTAGGGAAGAGCTCTTATTTTTATAAATTTAATTCAGTTCCCAATCTATTTGAGAAAACAGGTCTTTATCAGAGAAATTTGCTGTAAAAACTTTTGATATTCACTGTCTATGGTACCTTTTAACAACATGTAGTTTCCCTGATTATCTCTTTTAACTAGGTCTATTTTTGCTTTTGCTTTGCCTGAGATAATGATTGCTATCCTTGCTTTTTTTTTTTACTTCAGCTGAAGCATAATAGATTCTGCTCTATCTCCTTATTTTAATTCTGTGTCTTTCTGCTTAAAGTGTGTCTCTTGCAAATATATTGTTGGATTCTAATCCTGTCTTCTTCTGTTTATTCTTCTCTTTTTATCCCGTTTGCTTCTAGTCACTGCCTCCCTTAATCTGGCCTCCCTTTTATCATTTTCCTCCCCTTCTCTTATTCCCTTCCCCTCCTATTGCCCTGTTGGGTAAAACAGACTTCTGTATGCAACTGAGTGTGTGCGTGTATATACATGTACACACAAACATATGCACATATACACACATATATATACATATATATGTACACACACATATAAATACATATATACATATTTTCCCTCTTTGAAGCAATTCTGATGAGCTTAAGGCTCAAGCATCAACCACCTCACCCCCATTTTCCCCTCCATTGTAAAAGCTCTTTCTTGTGTACCTCTTTTATATGAGATAATTTTCCCCATTCTACCTCTCCCTCCCTACTTCTCTTTCTTTCTCACTCCTACATTTTCTGGGGGACATCCTCCCAACATAATCAACTCACACCCATTTCCTCTAAGTAGACTGGTTCTGTTGTTATTGTTGTTCAGTCATTTCAGTTCTGTCCATTCGGGGTTTTCTTGACAGAGATACTGGAGTGGTTTGCAATTTCCTTCTCCAAGATGGTTCTACCTGGCCTAATAATGATAAAGTTCTAAGAAGTTAGCAACTGATGTCAACCCTCCACCCCAGTGTTACAGACATGTCCTGCTGACCTCCTAAGTTGTCTTAGGCTGGAAGAATGTCTCACCCTGACCCTTTGCTGGCTTTGCTTCTCCAAAATTTTATTTGAAGCATTATTTTAAAGTTGTTTGGAGGGGACTATTGGGAGAATTTGGCTGAGTTGCTGCCTCTTTAGTCCACCATCTTGGCTCTACCTTCTAAACACATTTCTAAAACACTTTAAGATTTACAAAGCACTTTTCCCAAAACAACTCTATGAAGTAGGTATTGCAAGTATTATTCTCCATATTTTATGGATGAGGAAACTGAAGTCTCAGAGAAGTTCCATGACTTAACAGGTTACCAAATGTCAGAGGTAGGATTTGAATCCAGGTCTCCTGACTCCTAAGTCCAACATTCATTACACACATACACCACTCTTCTTCCACTGGTAACAACAGAATGGTGCCACATTCCAACTGGGCTTTCCCCTTTGTCTTCTGGCACTCCTGGGTCCTGGCCAAGATAATACAGGGAAACAAATGGAGCTCAATAAAAGATCAGTTCCCTGCCTAGAAGGGTCTCCATCGCCTAACTGCCCCTAATTCCTTAAACTCTGAAGATTCAGAGGAATTGACACAAAGACGGGAAACACCTCTTGAACCATTGACAGTTAGTTCATTCAACATTGCAGAATGATGAATGAATGAATGAATGAATGAATCAGCACAAGGGCAGCACTTACCTCTGTGAATCACAGACAGTTTACTATGTAAGTGCTCCAAGGCTCGAACAATCTTGGGATGCCATGGGGAAAGAAAAGAGGAAGGAAGAAAGGAAGGTGTGAGTTATTCAAGCATAAAAAGGCTTACCAGGTTACTTAAAGGGGAGGAAGGGCAACACATTTCACATTTAAAGGGGAAAGAAAAGAAGTGTCTCTGCTTGGCATCTATATGCATGGCAGCTCAACACTCAGGTTCAAACAATGAGGTATTGGGCAATTGTGAGCCTAAAATAATGAGAACCTACAGTTAAGTGAGCTGGAAAATTACAGTGAAGGAGGTCAGGAGCTCATTTGCTTCAAAGACTTTTCGAAGTTGTAAAGCACCCCAGTGGCAAAACCCCAAGGTCTCAAGATGCCAGGACTACCATGTCACTCATCAGCACACCTCCCAAACCAAGAAGACTTTCATCCAAGAACCAAGGAACCTGGAACCCATGGCAACCAACGGGTGACTGAGAAATTGACCAGTCTAACTGCTTAGCAGGCTGTGTCTCCCAGGAACATTCTTCCCAGGCTAGGATCCTCATATTACCTCATCCCAAGACTTTCTTGACAGGATTCTTGTGTTAAGATGGCAAGCACCATCTCCTCATCCATTCCCCTCCCTCTCAGCGCTCCAAATCAAAAAGGTTAAAGAGAGCAACTCGGCCACTTACAGACACTGCTATTTCACCTAGAATATCCTCCGGTATGGTCATCTCCTTCTCCAGAACCTTTTTGTAAAATTTGTCCAAGGAGGTGTCCATCAGTTCCATACAGATCCACACATCACCCTGGTGGCAGCAGAGAACAAAGGAATCAACAGGGAAACCTGAACACTCCCTCCCTATCCCCAGTGCTCCCTGACCTCCCTGCTCGATGCAAAGGCAGCTATACTAAGCCACAGGCCCAGCAGAAGTGATAATCACCTCCAAGAGATGAGAAGAGAGAGAGAGAGCTGGACTAGGAGTCATGAAGACCTGGGTTCAAATGCCACCTGAGACACTTAGTGGCTATGTGATCCCGGGCCTCTCAGTACCCAAGTTTCCTCATAAATAAAATGAGGAGGTCGGACTCAATAGACTCTAAGATTCCTTCCAACTCTAAATCTACTAACCTATGATCCAAGGGCTAGTTACTATGGGATTTCATACAGACTGATCAAGCTGTCCATTGGATCTGATGACAAGGGAGGAGGAAACTCCAATTTGTCACACATATACATGTTTCATTGTGTGTGTATGTACATATGCATACATTTATATTTATTTCACACACACACACACATCTTGTTTGTATGCTGGATACCCTCATCAGACTAAGGGTTCCTTGAGGGCAGGGACTGATTTTGCCCTTCCCCAACACTTAATAAATGCCTGCTGACTTGAGTTGTTGTTCCTCTGAAATCCTATGTGCCCCATCCATTCATACTCAGCAAAAGGGAAAGCCGTGGTTCAATCACATCTGTCTCTTCCCGCCTTGTTACCTCTCTGAAAAGGGCTCCATAGAAGGTGACAGTATAGAAGCAGTCTACAGTCCTCATGGAGATATCCAGATCCATGAGAAGCCTCTTCTGCTCCTGAGTGTTCACGGTCGCTCGGATCCTCTGTGGAGGGAAGAGAAAACTTGAAATAACCCCTGAGTGAATCCTATTCTTGGAGCCCAATGCACATCCTCTTAATGAGGTAGGATATGGGAGAAAGTCTGGCCACAGGCACTGTCAGATGGCTGTGATTATAAGCAGAAAGGAATACAAGAAGCAGATAGCATCTCCTCCGAAAGCCATCAATAGGAGAGAGTCTCACCTGATCTAAGAGAGTTTACAGGCATCTCACCCAAAGAGGACTTTTGCAGGTCCTTTCAAGACCTGTGAGTCTTTTCAAGAGTAGGATCCCATTTTCCTGTTATTTTTCTAAGATGAGGACTCTTTTCTTTCAGAACATTCTACCCTTTGGGCAAGGTTCATCTTAGAGCAGTAATAATCAGTGCCAGGTTAGGCAACAGGTCTTAATGCTCACACCACCACCCACAGCCATTCATCTGACTTTGGGGCTCCATTGATTACCTTGACAGCCATGATGGTTCCACTCTGGGCATGTCGAACTTTCTCCACTACCCCGTAGGCACCCCGACCCAGCTCTGAAATCGATACTAAATCATCAGCTGCCACTTCAAAGTTCTTGAGGGACAGAAAAGAGAAAAAGTCAATAAGGCTCAACACCTGAACAATGCCCACACCCTAGGAATACATGTGGGCATTCTCAGCTCCGTCTCCCCTCAAACACACACATCAAGAGCGGCCATCAGGCATGGATATAACACAAAAGAACTTTAGCAGCTTAACCTTTTATGGACATGGCCAAAGCCCTCACATGACCTCAAGGAGCCAGCTGGACCAAATCTCCTTCACAAGTGCTAAGACACTATCCTTGAGCTGATGGAAAAGTCCTCAAACCCCCTAGGAAATCAATGAGCTAAAAATCTCATGGGTCTCATTAACTCTATCCTGCCCAAGGCATGTGCTATTACATTACCTTCATCACACAGACAAACAAAGATACAGGAATTTTTAAGTGACAATGAGTCAGACAATGAGTCTATAATAAGGAAACATCATCACTGTTTACTCCAAACTACTGGTGTGTTAACCACCAACCACCCAGATTTAACACATGCCAAGGATGCTTTGTGTGTGTGTGTGTGTGTGTGTGTCTTTTTGTCCTTAGCACAGTGTCTAACACAAAGTAGGTGTTTAATAAATGCTTACTGAATGAATTTTAAAAATCTGATGGATTACAAGCAGGGAGAGGCTGGTTCAAAGAAAAACCACAAAGGAGAGAAAGCCAAAGAGGATTGTTAGGACCCGGTACAAACCTGCCAACAATTCTCACATGTAAATGGAACTGTCAGGGATAGGTGAGAACAGTGTGGGTGAGGAGCCACAGCAGGACCTGCTGAGTGAAGAGAAATTACCCTCCATTCTCTAGACCTCATTCCCACTCATTCCATTGCCTCCAGGGAAACTCAAGGGAAGCCTAGTATTAGCAGCCACCAGCTAGGACCTGGGCTTGACTTTTGTCAGGGTGAAGAGTGTGATTCGGGGAAACTGAGCAACAATCTCTCTCATCCCTGATATCTCCTCCTCCCAACTTAAAGCACGCAGCAGCAAATTTGCAGTGTCAACAAAGAGTTTAGTCTGTGAAAGACCAGGAAGCTAGCATGTCAAAGGAACTGATAATGGGACGAAACCATCACCAAACCAAAAAAGTTTTTTCCTTTTGCTCTTAGGAATAGCTTAAGTTCCCCTAAAAAAAAATCAGTCAATGCTAGGACACTTGGATGGGTTTTTATAACCAAACAGGGACTACTGGTCCAAAGCACCTCAGGGTACCAGGAAACCTTACTGTCCCAAACACCTAGATATCTCCTTTGTCACAAAATAAGTGCCACCACATAAAACGTCCTTCTCATAACCTAGAGGCAACAAAATGCTCAGGGACTGGAAGGACCCTTCTGGGCCCTCTCATAAACTTTATCTACCAGGATCCCTAGGAAACTGGGCCCCATTAGAAGGGCATTTCCTACGTGACCCGAGCATGCTCAGACAAACACATACATACATACATACATACCCACTGTTTAAAGTGTTGGGTTTACAGGCAGCTAGAACACTGGCCCTGGAGTCAGAAGGACCTGAGTTCAAATCCAGCCTCAGACACTTACTAGCTGTGTGACCTTGGACAAGTCACTTAACCTTGATTGCCTCCAGGGAAAAATAAATAAATAAATAATGGAGTGTCGGGTGTTCGTCTTTGAAGGTTTTCAAAAAGGCTACTGTTCTGATCCAGTCAAATCCGTTCTAAATCTGGTTTTATTCACATCTCTTGGAAAGAAAAAAAAAAAAGTCACTTATTTTCACATAGGGACAGGGGACAGGCATGATACCATGGCCATAGGAAGCTCCAAGGGGACACTTCCTCCACTAATGCAGGTTGACACCTTTTTGGAAACTTAAAGTCTTAGGCTACCTAGTCTTAATCTACCTAGAGTTGAGCGTTTAAATGACTTAGCCAGGGTCACACAAGCAGCTCTCTATACACTGTGCCATGTTGCCTTTCATACACATTTCTAGTTTCAAAGATCTAGAGCCAAAAGAGACCTCGAAGATGTTTCAGTTTAATTCTCTCTTTTTACAAATGAGGAAACTGAGGTCAAGAGAGCAGCTTGCCTAAGGCCTCGAACAGGTAAGTGGCAGAACCAGCACTCAAATCCATATCCTTTGACTCCAAACCCAGTGCCTCTTTTCTAATGCACAATTCTGGACTCTTCCCCTCTAACAGATCAGACCCGGTAGAAAGAGTTAAGACTGCTGAAAAGAAAGAGGCCGGTAGTTTAAGGACCTTCCAATACTGAGGAAGAAGAATTAAGAACAGTCTAAGTATATAACCTGTCCCCCTTACTAAGACCTCTCTAAAGCTGATTTCCTACCAGTCATGATTAGAAATTATTTTACCCTTGGCAGGCAACATTTAACCTGGAGTACAAGGAACTGCTAGGTGACCAATCTGACTGGAACGGAGAGTATCTCCCATTCTCTCTCTGTCTCTCTCTGTCTCTGTCTCTCTCTGTCTCACATAAATAACTTTTTGCATGTTGTCTCCCCCATTAGAATGTAAACTTCTTGAGGGGAGGGACCGTGTTTTTTGCCTTTTGTTCTATCCCCAGCACTTAGCACAGTGCCTCAAATATTGTAAGTACTTAATAACTGCTTATTGTTGTTAATGAAAGAGAGTAACACTAGAAGGCATCAAGGTATCTGAAGTGGATAAAGTGCTAGGTCTGGAGTCAGAAAGACTCATCTTCCTGAGTTCAAATCTGGTCTCAGACATTTACTGGCTGTGTGACATTGGGCAAGTCACTTCACCTTGTTTGCCTCAGTTTCCTTTTCTATAAAATGAGCTGGAGGAGGAAAAGACAAACCACTCCAGTATCTTTTCCAAAAGAACTTCCAAGTTGGGTCACAAAGAGTCAGACACAACCAAAAAACGACTGAACAACAGTAACAAACACTAGAAGAGTAGGTGGGAACCAGATTGTGGAGAGCTTCAACCATCGTGCTAAGAAGTTTTCATCCTAATCCTAGAGGCAATAAAGAATCATCCAAGATTTCTGAGGAGCAGTGTCACGGCCAGCTCTGCCTAGGAATGTCAGTTTGGCAGGCACTGGGCTGCAGCTATTTGGTACAAACACCCAATATGCTAATTACAAACAATTTTTTTTCTTTCTTTTCATTGGAGAAAACTGGAATAGAAAAGAAAGTGGACTGGCCTAAATGTGTAGCACAGAAGTGCTAGATGAACTTAGGAGATTACACATACTTTTGGCCAAAGCAATCAGGGCAGGCTTCTACCCCCAAGTGACAGCTGCAAAAAGCTGCACATGCACACACATGAACTAACAAAGATCTAGGCACAGGCACTTTGCTTTGCACAGAGGAAATGGGCTCTTCCAGCAGGCTTTCTTTAGAAAAAACAATTTACTAAGTCTACTTCTGCAAAGTGGTTTCAGGAAGATAGGCTCTCTCTCACTCTCTCTGGGAGATGAGCCATACTATGAGGGAGCTTAGTTGATACATCACAGAACCAGCCCACCCAGGAAACATCCAGTGTGACAGCAGGGTGATCACAGCCTCAAGAAGAAGCCCAGATCCCAGAGGTTCAAGGTGTTCTACTATTATGCCTACAGGAAGCAGGCTGAGGAAAAGGCGGTTCTGGCTTCCCCTAGAATGTATGGCTTTGAAGGGTGGTTGTTCAACACGGTAAAGAAAAACCCTTTAAAAAACTTAAAAATTCTGATCAACGCAATGACCAGCCACAATTCCAGGAAAACCACTGAAGAAGCATAAGCATGCTCCAGGCCTGACAGAGAGGTGATGGACTTGGGGTGTAAAATGAGACATAATTTTTTGAACATGACTAATTTAGGAATTTGTTTTGCTTGACTATGATGCATATTTATTACAAAGGTTTTGTTTTTCTTTCTTTTTTTTCTAATGGGAGATAGGAGGGAAAGAAAATAGATTTTTGTTAATTGAGAAAATTAAAATTTTTTAAAGGGTGGTTTAGATTTTTGTTTTTCCAGTTCTGACTAATGTTTTATTTTGGGAAGATCCAGTAGCCCAGGCTTGCCAAAAGTTTAACAGTAAGTCAGCAGTTCCCTCTCTGAGCAGAGACACGGACACTATCCTCCTACAGAATGGATACACTAACTCAGTTCTACCATGGGGCTCTCAGATCTCAAAGCTGCAAGAATACACACACCTTTACCTCCATCCCAGCCTTTGTTATCATCAACATTCTCTCATGAAGTCAAAGACTAGTAACTAGATTGGGGGGGTCCATGAACTTGGATAGGGAAAAATATTACATCTTCATTTCAAGACAACTGGTTTCTTTTGTAAGCCTATGTATTTTACTTTATACATTTAAAAGAATTATTCTGAGAAATGGGTCTATGGGCATCACCAGACTGCCAAAGGGGTCAATGACACAAAAAAAAGTTAAGAACCCTTTATTTAGTCACAATCAAGACCATGGGTGCACTGGTTTCAGGTGTATCAGACCACAGACACCTAGTTTTGTAGCCACTGGGGGATTCAATCAGAATTTCTCATTCAAAATCTTGCCAGGCAGGCAAATACAGGGGCATGCTCTGGCACACAAGTTTTATTATAATCCCTGGCACCCTGAATTCTCTCCCAAGTCTCAGATGCCCCACTGGGAGGTTTCTGAGGAAAGCAGCAAAAGGAGACAGATCTCCAGAAAGTACAATGGTTAAACTTCCAGGATGTCAAACCAACGAAAAGAATCACTGATACCTTTTCCCCAATTCTGACCCTAGCCCTTCCAAAATAATCATACATTAAGTACAAGCCATTGATAGTAACAGCAACAGCTAGCATTTATATAGTCCTTTAAAGTTTACAAAGCACTTTACATATTTCATTTGAGCCCCCAAACCCTGTGAAATAGGTAGCAAAGGTTATTATCATCCCTATTTTACAGATAAGAAAACTGAGTTTTGAGAGAGGCTGAGTGGCTTGCCCACAAGTGAGATTCTAACCCAGGTCTCGCCTGACTCCCCAGTTCAGTGTTTTGGTTTTTTCCCCTCAGGACATCATGCTGCCTCTCTAAGGAGTGACCCCACAGGCCACTAGCAAATGCCCAAATGCCATTTAAGACTTATGCTTTAGGGACGGAAGGTAAATACCTCAAAAACCTATTCCTCCACCCTCCAACAGAGCTTTTCGAGGTGCATCCATTCCAAGTCTATGTAAGTAACTGATGACCTGGGGGTAAGTTGTGCAACCCACCTAAGCAAGGAAAGCCATGTTCTAGCCCCCTATCCCCTACCACCACCAAGTCGGCAGAAGGCAGGAGAGTCCAAATTCTATCCAATTTAGCACCTGCCCATGGGAAGGTAAGCAGTCAGATATAAACTCTGATCCCATGCATAAGAAGGTCTATATATAGTCTCCCAGTACACAGACTCACGCAGTCCCTAGAGGATGCTGAACAGGGAGAACAAAAACCAGAAGCTATTTCTAGCCAGTACATTGGGCCTCCTGGAGCTAGGCAGAAAGAAGCTGCCCAGAGACCCAGCCAAGTCTTCATCGACCAACCCTCCCTGCCCTGACTTCTCCTCTAGACGGGTAACAAGGCATACCCTTGAGGGCCCCGGGGTTTGGATTCAATTTTTTCAGGGAAGGGGGCAGGGAGGAAGAATGGGAGAATTACAATGATAGACTTATGTCTCAAAGAGCTAAGAGGGCAATCCTTTCAGCCCCTAGCCACAAGCTGGGTGGAGAGAACTGGAGAAGGTCCCTGACCTTTCATTATACAGTACTCCGCAGAGCAGAAGCCCCAGACAGTGCTTGGAAAAGCTTCCCCAGAAAACCTCAAACACCCTTTAGTATTTGCTTACAGGGTCTCTACACACATCCTAGATGAAGTCCACCAGTCAAAGTCCTGGATAAATTGCTCATTCACTTCGAGACAGGGCCCTCGCCCTGAAACATGAATCACACCCAGGCAGAGAACACAAAAGTTCCTTCTCTTCTGCCCACCACACTGGGGGTCAGGCAACCAGGGCCCCAGCACAACTGAGAGGGAGAGGGGAAGGATGCTGATGTTGGACCCTCCCCTGACAAAGAACCAGTTTCTACAGCGGGGGAAGATGGTGGGGATCCTTTCCAACAGATAGACTGAGGGAAACTAGATGGGGCTGCCCTTGGCCTGACGGAGATCTGTGGGTTCACACACAAACATTTCTCTTTGGGGAAGGAATTGTTCAAACACTCCAGCCCTCAAGTCCCAGGGGAGGGCAAAGGAAAAAGTTATGCCAGAAATTTTTAAATGTCCATGGAGATCATTGTTTGAAGGAGCATATTTTGTTTCTTTAAAGCTTTTCCAAAGTTCAAGTCCCAAGAAGACAAACGTGACAAAAACACACGTCTTTACAGGTCAGGACAGAGGAAATGTCAACTGGCGTCATATACCTTGTCACCAATTGTAATGAAGGTCCTAGAGTCCAGGTTCCTGGGAGGCCTGGAAAGAAAAAAGAAAATCCCATGAGTCTTTTCCCTGGGGCTCCAAATGCTCAGCTGTGTCTGAGCACCCTGATCAGAAGAGAACAAGACAATGTAACAGAATGAGCACTGGGTGAAGATGTGGGTTCCCATCCCAGCTCTCACTCTCAATAGCTACGTGGCCCTAAGTAACTCAACATTTCTGACCTCAGCCTCCTCTTCTGGAAAATGGGGATACCTAGCAACTTCACAAAGTCATCACAAGCCTCAAATGAAATGATGTATGTGAAAACACTTTATAATTACAGAACATCAGCTAGTAGTCACAATCACCAGAAGAGCCTCCCTGTTCACTTTGAAAGCTGACACCAATATTTTACTCACAAGGGAATGATCTCAGCCTAAATCACATGTTCTATCCCACAGTAAGGTGTCAAGTGGACAGACACCTTACTGACTCAAAAAATCCAATGTCCTCCCCCTCCCTCCCTCCCTCCCCCACTGGCTTCTTCTGGATTATTTCAGGGTAGATAAAATACAAACTCATCTATCTTTTTACATTCTGGTTCCAAACTGTTCACATATTACTCCTCCTCTCACACATTCGGTGTACCTGCCAAACTGGCCAATTTGCTGTTCTCCATAAAGAACATTCCATCTGCCTCCACTAGGCCTTTCTGTTCCCCATGCCAGGAATGCTTTCTCTCTTCAGCTCCATCTTGCAGAATCCCTAGACTTCCTTCAAAGACAACTCAAGGTGCCAATTTCTCCAAGAGCATTTAATGTTCTCCTAACCATCTTCTTCTCCCACCCCCGTGACCCTCCCCCCAGAAATTACTTTGTATTAATGTCTACATTTTGTACATCTTTATCTATATACAAGGTGTTCCTTTCCCCTCCTTCAAGGAGAACATAAGCTCTTTTGGGGCAGGGATCATTGACCTTTGTCTTTGCATCTCCAGCATCTAGTACAGTGCCACCGAACACTTGGTGAATTAACTGAGAATTGAATTAACTGTTGAATTAACCAAGGTGAGAGAGGGCACTGGAACTGGGTACTTTACAAGGGGTAAAGAGTATGGCAAAGCCTGACCAAATGGCCCTCTTTTCAAATACCCACTCCCTCATGGCAACAGATTATGCCCATCACTGAGTGTTGCTGGGAAGAAGTCAAACTTACAAGCCTGAATTAAAGGGTCTGCTTCTGATTTCACAAAACCACATTTAAATTTTCTCAGGAAGAGGGGACCCACTGCCTATCAGGTCTCATACTCCCAAAAAAAGCAAAGTGGCCGTTTATCACCAAGTTTCATCAATCTAGCTCCCCATAACCCTCCAAAATTACCCTGGCCAATTACTAGATTGGATGAGACAAGCTTCAGGATCTCAAGTTACCCCATAAAAAGGCACACTTAGGGTTAACTGTGGTGGCCTAAAAACATTTTGGTAGAGCAAAACATACCAAGTTGGAAAAGTTTCAGAGAGAGGTGCCTCTCAGAAGATCACAAAGTTTCATTCCAAAGGACAGGGTCAAGCCCATTTTCAGGCCTCTTCTATCTTCCTATCCATGCAAAGGGCTATAAAAAATGACCATTTTGGACCTCAGGTAGTCCCCTACTTACTATTTTCTTTTTTTTTAATTTATTATTTTATTTTTCCCCAGTTACATGTAAAAACAATTTGTAACATTCATTTTTAAAACTTTGACCTACTTACTATTTTCTGATGGGATTTATCAAGGACTAGCTCTTATACATTGAAGATTATTTGTAGCTATCTCACATCCCCAACCAGACTAGAAGCTTCCTGGGGGAAAGAGCCAACCAAGCTTTGCATCTCCTCCCACCACATACAATACCACACAAGCAGTGAGGCCTGATGTGTGCTGAACTCCCCACTTTACCTGCCATTTATGAAGGCCCAAGACTATGTATGTGGGAAAAGACAGCAACACACTTACGTTGGGTTGGAGACGGGTGGCTTGTTGGAGACACATGATATTTTTAAATCCTTCCTGTTCTTGATTTTTCCTGGAAGACAGAAAAAAAAAAGGTATTCCTTAAAGTTCACAGAGATCAGAAGCTCTTAAATTGGGGGTCTGTGTGCTTTTAAAATAATTTTTTTTAATAACTGTATTTCAATGTAATTGGTTTCTTTTCTAATCCTACATATTTTATTATCCTGAGAAAGGGTTCATAGGTTTCCCAGACTGCAAAAAGGGTTTGGGATACACAAAAAAAGATTAAGAACCCCTAAATAGACACATGTAATAATAATAGCTGGCATTTATAGAGCATTTTTGAGGTCTGCAAAGCACTTTATTTATCTTATTTCGCTTGAGCCTCATAACCCTGCCAGGCAGGTACAAAGGACTTATCCTCAGTTTACAGACAAGGCCTAGAATTATGAAGTGACTGGTGCCATGGTCATACAGCAAACAGATGGCAGAGGCAGAATTTGAATCCAGGCCTTCCTGATTCCAAGTCTAGTTTTCCTTATGCCTGTCAAGACACAATTTTTTTTAGGTTGCTGCTGTCAAATTCCAGTAGTAACCCAAACTTTGCACTTCCCTTAATTACATCCCACAGGACTTCAGGTCTTCTTCCCCTCCTCCTGGACAAAATCTCCCCTTCCTCTCTTTCCCTTCTCCTCCCCACCCCTACCCCTGGCCCATCTGCTGGTAACAATTGGGAAGCTGAAGTATGAGGGTGAATGACTCTCAAGGTCAATCTCAGAAGCTGGTGTGACCTCTTGAGCCTCTCTTCCCTGCTCAGACTCCCAGCCCATGCCTCCAGCATGAAGTCACTGCAGACCCACAGCCCCTGTCAATCAGTTTCTCCACCTGGTCTGGCATTCTAGGGGCCAGGCAGCTGTCAACCTCCGTCCACCTAGCTTGTCACAGAGACCCAGGACATGACCAGGCAGGCACAAGAAAAGAGGATCTGGCAGCCTGACTGATGAGGGGGAACTACAACATTACAGTCCTGAGAGATGATGCCACCTCTTTCAAAAGGCAGGAGACTAAGGAGACGCCATTTCCTTTTCAGTTACCAAAGGTCAGAGTAGGCTGCTATGAAGAGACTACATTAGCTTGGAGTCACCCTCAAGTGACATTTACCAGTAACATTGGGCTGCCCTAAAGTTAGGGGATTATAGGCCTAGTGCTGGAAGAGTCCTCAGGGCTACTACAGCTTATTCGGAAACTGAGGCTGAGGGAGGCTACATAATTTACCCAAAGTTACCACAAAAGTTTGTACTGAGATTTAAACCCAGCTCCTCTGATTATTATATTTTCTTTCTATTATACCACACACACTGCCTCCGTCTATGATTTCTTCAACCCAGCCTTGGGTCCCTATTTCAGGGGACCCTCTACCCAGCATTTCCAAACATCAACCACAGACACACACCCCAGTCTCTCCCTCATATTGAAACTTTTAGACCATCTTTGATCAAAAACAACCCCACCTAACATCAAGAAAGTGGAGTTCTCTCTTCTGAGGCAAGCACTGGCTTGCACTATATTAACCCATATTCTTCCCATCCTGCCATCCCCCCCACCTACAATAACTTGGTCACTAACATGAAGACTATTCTGTCCCAAGCTGGAGCTCTCCTCTGGAAATGAATTACGAGAAGAGAAGGCCTCTTCTGAATTCCTGGAACTTGCTAACTGGCAAAAGCTTCATGTTCAAAAGTTTTTGAGATAAAACTGATAAAAACCCAGGTTTGCGAGACAAGCAATAACAGAACTGAAAATTAACACACTCAACTAAGAGACAAGAATCTACCATTTCTGTTCCCAGTTCAGTTAGTGACTTGGTGGCAGACAAATATCTCTGTGCTTGTTTTCCCTGTGTGTTAAGGAAGGGTCCCAGTCTGCCCAACGATGACCTCACTGAGGCGAGATGGTGGAGAGTGAAGAGAGAATGAATGAGTCAAAGAATGAATGACTCAGGGTTTGTGATTCAGGCCCTCAGAAGAAAGGTACTAAAAAGTACACTTTTTTCAGGAAAAAAGTGGAAGGGGCCAGAGTTTCAGTAGGCCAGCCACCATACAGACAGACCACATCCTCCTAAGACAGATCTAGACACAATCACTTCTATCCAGCACCAGAATAAAAGGGGTCACTGATGCTAGGGAAAAGAAAAAGGCCATTGTTGCAGTAAAAGAAAGGCCATGACCTTTTAGTCTGGAGACCTACGTCTTAAACATAGCTTATTATGTCGTAGAAAAAAAGGCTAATTTCCCATTCTCTACTGGGGACAGCCATGAGTGGAGCCATTTTGGGACCACCAAACAAAGCTTTCAGCTCTCTTCTCTAATGAAGTCCTAAATACAGCCACACTGAATTATCCTTCTGAGCTCTGCAGTCTCTATTAGGAATGTGAATGGCTCAAGGCTAAGCAGGATACAAGGTGTAATATAGAGGCAAAAGGAAGGAGCAAGGCCAAGGTGGAAAAGATAACAGTATAAGAAAAGATGGCTCCTAAAACGAAGCTATTAGACTGACTCCCAGCAACAGTTCATTTTGATTCAAGAAGCATTTATTAGGCGCCTACTGTGTGCCTGGCACCAAGCTACGTGCTAGCCATACAAAGACAAAAATGAAAACAGTCTCTGCACCCAAGAAGCTTACAAATGAGTCACTTTGGCAGGCTTCTGTAGCCACGAGAAACCTACAAAAATGGCTCAATTTAAATCCCTCAGGGTCTAGCACCCCAAACTACCCAGGTTTTCATTTGCCTAGGAAAATAGACAATTATCTTAAAACCATCTTAAAGTCCATTTCTTCCATGAAACTTTGAGATAAAGCAACTTGCCTAAGGCTACACAAATCCTTCAAATGGCAGGATTTGAACCCAGTGTCCTGTCCACTGTACCAACATGTAGATCAGTTTCATCTCCCCAACTACTATCACTTTATTGAGAGTCAGGATTCCATGGTACAATCTGTTCTCCCAAGGTGCTGCAGGCACTTAAATGAATTCTCCCGGGCTCCCCAGGCAGAGGTCTCATTCAAGGACACTGCTTCTGCAGACACAGCTCTAAATCATCAAAGATTCGCTTGACGAACGTGCTTGTGTGGAGGTGCTCTAAGTCCTGGGATCTCCCTGGACCCACAGCTGACAGTCAGATCCAGGCAGGGAGTTTTGCCAGAGGCTTGTGTCCCTTACTGCTAGGTCAGCTCCCTGTCTCTCTCAGTTTGGGACACTAGAGGTCGCCATGGCCTTGGAATTGTCAATGGGCTCAATTAGAACAACCCACAGGGTACGCTGTTCATTCTTCTCTGCTCCTTTAGGTAAAGTTCACACCAAAAAAAGGTCTAGCCAGAGCATCAGTACTGGAATCACGACCATCAATGTAAACTCTCATAAGGAACAGACAATTACAGACAGAAGGGATCAGCAGTCCAATTCAGTTCAACAAATATGTAAGCATCTACTACATTCAGATGAGTATTGACTGGGAAGCCCAATGGCTTTGGAGTCAATGATTTCCTATTACCTCTAGGTCCAAAAAATTCTATGGCTTTTATTGTTGTTCAGTCCTTTCAGTTGTGTCCGACTCTTGTTGACCTCATTTGGGGTTTTCTTGGCAAAGATACTTGAGTGGTTTGCCATTTCCTTCTGCAGCTCATTTTACAGATGGGGAAACTGAGGCAAACAGGGTGAAGTGACTTGCCCAGGGTCATCTAGCTAGTAAGTGTTTGAGGCTGAATTTGAACTCAAGAAGAGTCTTCCTGACTCCACGCCAAGCACTCCGTCCACTGAGCCACCTAGCTGCCCTTTAAAGCCCTTCACAACTTAGCCCCTTCCCACCTCTCCAGTCTTCTTACATCTTAATCCCCTATACTTACTGTTTGATCTCCTGGTTCTCCAATTTGACACCCCATCTCTCTCCTGACTCCAGGCATTCATACTGGCTATTTCCCATGCCTGGAATCCTCTGCCTCCTCACCTCCACCTTTTGGCTTCCCTCAAGTCCCCACCAATATCCCACCTTCTGGGAGAGGCCTCTTCCAGGGCTCCTCGATCTTACTGCCTTCCCTCTAAAACCACCCCCAAGTTATCCCCTACATACCTGGTTTGTACATAGTTGTTTATATGTTGTTTACTCCACTAGATGGTGAGCCCTTTAAGAGTAGGAACTGGTTTTTGCCTTTCTATGGATCCCCAAAGATTAGCACAGGACTTAGCACACAGTAGGTGCTATATAAATGTTTGTTGACCGACTGGGTTCAAATGTCAACTCTGCTACTTATTGCCTATGTGATCTCAGCTTAGTTACTTAACCTCTTGCCAAGAGAGGTTCCTTATCTATAAAATAAGGAGGTTGGACCAGATGACCTCTGAGGCCCCCTCCAGCTCTACGTCCATCACTCCACCGCGATAGAGACGTAACATGGTAGGTACGCCCATTTGGTAACACATTACAAACAAGGAACTAAAAACTGGCATAAGATGTCAAAGAAGTCCAGATGAAAAAGATGAGTTGGTTACATGGGAGAGGGAGGGTTAACTGCTAAACAGCCTAGAGTACTCCTCAGCTATCCTCTCCAGGTCAAGAGAAATCAAGGCAGGCCCCCAGCACATTGACAGAACCCAACATTCTATGGGGAACCTAAGGAAGGAAATGGACAAGAGTCACACAGGATGGGCAGCCATGGATGGGTTGTGAGGTCAACAGAATAGCCACATCAATGAGATCACAGAGAACGATAACAGCAGCTAAAAACATATATAGTGCTTATTACTATGTGCCAGGCACCAAGCTAAGCGCTTTACATTTATTATCTCATTCGGTCCTCCTGGAACGTAGGTGCTATTATCCTCATTTTACAAATGTGGAAACTGAGGCAAACAAAGGTTAAATAGCTTGCCCAGAATCACACAGCTAGTAAGTGGCTAAGGCCACATTTGAATTCAGGTCTCCCTGATTCCAGGCTCCGTGCCACCTGCTACCCTTATACCACCAAGCTGTCCACAATTCCATCTGAGTATCTAAGTATATGCAGGGCATTGATTTA